TCTAAACCCTAAACCCTAAACCCTAAACCCTAAACCCTAAACCCTAAACCCTGCCTGTGGAGATAAGAGCACAGGAGCCCGGCAGAAGCCCAGGAAGATGACGAGAGGGGTAGGGGTTTGCCGCAACCCCAATAGCAATGTAGGATTTGAATGGGGTGTAAGACAACAGCTCGACCTCGCAATACACCTCAGCCTGCATACAAACCCTAAACCCTAAACCCTAAACCCTAAACCCTAAACCCTCGATGGATGATACAGCCTGCAGTCTCCATCCGCCAAGATTTTCTGCTGAGGGGTTACGGCCTAGGGTTTTGAGTTCAGGGTTTAGGGTTTAGGGTTTAGGGTTTAGGGTTTAAAATGCTTTCATAGATCCGAGAGATATGTTTCAGCAGCCGCTTTCACTCGAACCCCAAACCCTAAACCCTAAACCCTAAACCCTAAACCCTAACCCCTTACCTGTTGTGGTAGTGGTAGAGTAGACTGAAGGACGATGGGCTCTGCCTGTACGAGGACCGCCTGGTGTATATCGTCTCCTTTTCTGTTGGAGATAGGGAGAGNACGATGGGCTCTGCCTGTACGAGGACCGCCTGGTGTATATCGTCTCCTTTTCTGTTGGAGATAGGGAGAGTGGGCGACATGATAGCTTCTTTGAGTGCATCTGTTTTTGCTTGCTGCAGCTGCTGCAGCAGGTAGCACATTGTATTGAAACTAACTAAACAGCAGCCGGGCTGCTGCGTTTCTACCTGACACCAACGACCGCAGCTGCTGGTTCCTGCTGCTTCTGCTGCTGCTGTTGCTGCTGCTGGAGCTGGTGTTGATGCATCTCCTTCTGTAGCTGTAGCAGCAGCAGCAGCAGCAGGAATAGGAGCAGAAGCAGCAGCAGCAGCAGCAGCAGCACGAGGAGATAATAGATCCTTTACATTCACAGAAACACCCTCAATCTGCATTTCTGTTGCTGCTGCCACCAACCCCATTGTGCTCCATCGGTGGTGTCTTTCAGGCTGAACAGGTGCTGCTGCTGCTGCTTCTGCTGCTGCTGCTGCTTCCTCTTTCTCTAAACCCTTCGGCAGCAGCATACGCCATTGGGAGGGGCCCTTATCCATAACCTCNCTGCTTCCTCTTTCTCTAAACCCTTCGGCAGCAGCATACGCCATTGGGAGGGGCCCTTATCCATAACCTCCGCCCTAATCAAACCCCACACACACACATATAGTTCAACTGCTGCTGCTGCTGCTGCTGCTGCTGCTGCTGCTACTGCTGCTGCTGCTGCTGCTGCTGCGGTGAGCTCTCGTTGCAGCAGCAGACACAGCACACAACATCAGCAGCAGCACGCGGACGCAGCAACAGCAGCAGCGGCAGCCACAGCAGGAATAACACAGGCACCCGCGATAAGGGAAGGAGCTGCAGCAGCAGGTGCTGCTGCAACGATAGATGCATCAGCATTGCGGGCAGCAGCAGCAGCAGCAACAGCAGCAGCAGCAGCAGCTGCGGAATAGGGTGGTCTAGATGCACGAGCAGCAGCAGCACTATTGCAGCAGCAACAACAGCAGCACGAGCAGCAGCAACACCAACAGCAGCAGCTGCTGCACCACCATCATAAAGCACCGCAACAGCAACAAAATGAAGAGCAACAAAAACCCAGCAGCAGCAGAAATACATGAGGCATCTATATCAGCAGGCAACGCCGCACCAGCAGCAGCAGCACCACCACCACCAGCAGCATCAGCAGCAGCACCAGCAGCAGCATCAGCAGCAGCAGCAGCAGCAGCAGC